GAGGGAACCCGGCCAGCAGGAAGCAGGGCTGGGGGGGGGGTTGGGTGAGTGTTGGCTGGGGGAGATCGGGAGGAGGAGGGGAGAACTGGCCGCCGGAAGCAAGGCTGGGGGGGGCATCAGGGCTGGCCGGGGAAGATTGGGAGAAGTGGGGGAGAACCGGCCTGGAGAGGGGGTCAGGGAGAGCGGAGGGAAGGAGAAAGGGGGAGCGAATCGGACGGCAGGGAGCAGGACTGACCCGGGCACGTGCAGATCCCAGGGCACTGGCTGTCCCATGCACGGTCCCGGTGAAGCACGAGTGAGTCCGGGTACAGCTCCACAACAAACTGGAACAGCACTCAGGAGCACATACAGGGCTTCCCCTCCTCCCCAAGGCATCACAAGCAACCGCCCTGCCCCCCAGTCCCTGCCCCTGCCCCCGCCAGGCTTCCCTCGGGTGCCCAGCTGGAAAACTAGAAAATACTGGACATTGCCCATGTCTGGTATTTTCTGAATTTTTTTACCGGACAGAGGGCCCAAAAACCGGACAGTCTGGTTGAATACCGGACACCTGGCAACCTGGGGAGGACAGAGGACAAGGCAGGGCTTGGGGCAGAAGAGGGGTGTTACATGGCTGGTGGCTTCCTACCCCCCAATCCCTTCTCTCCAGTCACCTCTGCAGGTAAACTGGAAGGCAAAAATAAAACCCAACATAGAAATTCCACAGATTTTGCCAAATATCCCAGCTGATTAGAGTTATCCCTGGCACTAACTATTTTATCTATTTAAAAACTGTCTTGAAAGTGTCTAGCTGAGTGCATAATTAGTGTATGATCTGAAATATCTGTGCAGCTTGAAAGCTTGTCTCTCACCAGCAGAAGCTGATCAAAGATATTACCTCACTCACCTTGTCTGTATAGTCTATGTAAATTTATGTTAATATTATTATCCTCTTCATCGCTCCATTCCTTCTGAGTTACCCTGTCCCCCTCCCTTAGGCCCTACTTCTGCCACACACATCCATCAGTGAAGCTCCATATAGGCTTAGCTGTGCACCTCTGTGCAGTGCAGTTTCACACACAGGGCCTGAGATAGCCAACACTCTAGAAACAGTTTTCCCACTCTCTGTAGAGTACCTAGCACAGTTATTCCCCTATCCTGCCTTTGGGCATTCCTACAAAGTCAGATCTGATGGGCGATTACTCTTTGCCAAGTATGATCATCTTCCATGGGAGCTGTACTCCCTCAAATGGCTGATAAGGCTGATCCTTGAACCATGTTTTATTACAATGAGGACAGATGTTTCCAGGTACAGCAGGAGGCTGCTGACCATGACTAGAAACTAGTCTCCCCTTCCTCCTGCGCCTTTTCTCCTTTTGAGCATGTTGGCAGGCTAATTCAAAAAGCAGGGGCCATCACAGAGAACTTCTCTCCATTTTGAGTGATCCTGGATGGATGTCTCCCAGCTGTGCATGTTGCTCTTCTTTAAAAGTTATCATTTAGCAAGTCCTTATAATGCTTCTGCTGTCCTCTCATGTTACAGTACCCTTCTTTCAGTTGAGAAAACAGGACTTGTTTTGGGAGACGATGGTCTGGCATCTGAACAACGTGACCAGTCCAGCAAAGTTGCTGACGGATGATCATTGCCTCCATACTGGTGGTCTTTACCTCTTTCAGAACATTAATGTGAGTGTGCTTGTCTTCCCATTTGATCTTCTAGATCTCGAGGAGGCAGGGTGGGTAGTACTTCTCAATGACTTTCAAATAATGTTTGTAGGTTGTTCAGGTTTCAGATCCATACAACAGCATTGGAAGAATGACGGCTTGATAGACAAGAAGGTTCATGATTGTTCAAATGTTGTGATCTTCAAAAACCCTGTGCTGTAACCAAGCAAAGGCTGAAGTGGCACAGCTCAGCCGATGTTGGATTTCTACATCAATATCTGCCTTGAACTAAGGATGTAAGCGATTAGTCGAGTGATTACTCAGCTAGTAGCTTCTCTCCCTTTTGCTGTCTCTGTATCAGAGGCAGGAAGGCTGGGGGAGTAGGAGCCAGTGCTGGGTGGAGCCGGCTTAAAAGTTGGTTCCCCCAGCACTGTCTCCGTAGTACAGGGAGCGCAGGGGAAGCAGAGCTGCAGCAGTCCCATAGGCGGCACGAGATGGGACTTTTTGGTCCCGGTTCACACAGCCCCTGGGAGCTAATCCTGCTGCAGCTCTGCACTTTAAATGTAGTAAATAATGTTATTACATTTTGGCTACGTCTACACTGGCAAGATTTTGCGCAAATACTTTTAATACAAGAGGTTTTGCGTTAAAGTATTTGCACAAGAGAGCATATACACTGGCATGTGCTTTTGTGCAAGAGATGTGTTTTTGTGCAAAAGCATCCGTTCCAGTGTAGACGCTCTCTTGCGCAAGAAAGCTCCAATGGCCATTTTAGCCATCGGGCTTTCTTGTGCAAGAAATTCATGTTGCCTGTCTACACTGGCCTCTTGCGCAAGAACAGTTGCGCAAGAGGGCTTTTTCCTGAGCAGGAGCATCATAGTTCTTGCGCAAGAAGCACTGATTTCACACATTAGAACGTCAGTGTTCTTGCGCAAGAACTCCCCACCAGTGTAGACAGGCAGCATGCTTTTGTGTAAAATCATGTCAATGTAGACACAGCCTTAAAGTGCAGAGCTACCTCTGGGAGCTAAATCTAACCTCCCCCCCCCCGCATCAACTACTTGATTAGTTAATGAACTGATACTTAACATCTCTACCTTGGATGAAAGAGAACTTCCAAGGTAAAGAAAATGATTGACATTCTCCAATGCCTCTCAATTGATTTTAATAGATGGGGGTGTATGGCACCTTGTTTGGAGAGGGCTAATGGAACACTTAGTCTTCTTGATATCTCACCCTGAATATGAAGAATGTCATAACTGAAGGGGCTACGTCTTGCTGAGAAACCCAGAAAATGCTTCCAGGATTTTATCATGGTTAGTAATCAGTCAGAATACTTCATTTGACCTGATACTTAAATCAGAAAGTCGGGTTATGTTACTCTGTATTGAAATTAGGAAGGGGTAAGTATTTAGAAGCCTGTGGCAGCGAGGAGAACGAGTGAACTTTGTTCTGCCCCAGCTGAAACCCATCATAACCGCTCCCTAAATTTAAATAACTGTACATAAGAACGGCCATACTGGGTCAGACCAAACTTCCATATAGCCCAGTATTGCGTTTGCGGACAGTGGCCAATACCAGATGCCCCAGAGGGAGGGCTCACAACAGGTAATCCTCATGTGATCCCTCCTGTCACCCACTTCCAGAGAAACAGAGACTAGGGACGCCATTCCTACCCATCCTGGCTAATAGCCATTGATGGCCCTACCCGCCATGAATCTATCTCGCTCTTTTTTGAACATTGTTAAAGTTCTAGCCTTCACCGCATCCTCTGGCAAGGAGTTCCAATCCCAGAGGATTGCCTCAAGCAGCTGGGATCATCACAGTAAAATCGAACGCCCCTGGACATACAGGACGGGTGGCATGACCAGGGCTAGGTGGCGATGCACTCACCGGCCCTTCTGCATGATGAAGCCATGCGCCTCAGAGCCGCATTCCCCATAGCCATTCCCCCCAAGATGGGCTCTACCTGGTACACTGGGCACAGGCCCCACACAGCTCAACACAGCACTGCCCTGATCCTTTCTTCTCCCCACCCAAGGCACACATATTAGCAGGGGCGGGGCTTCAAGCTATTGACAGCCTTTCAGCCAATCGCTGCAGGAGCTGAGAACCAATCCACAGCGGTCATAGAGACGTGGGGGAAGTCCTTTTCTGCACCTCCCTGAGGAGGCGAACGGCCGCCATCTTGTATGTGGCATGCTCTCAACCCGCTTCTAGCTCTTCAAGTCCTTATCGTCCTCGGGATGCCTAGCTGTAAGCAGTCGTTCATATGATGATAGCGATGGGAGGTGATTGAAATCCTGGGGAGGCGAGAGACGGCTGGCAAGCGCCTCACACAATATGGCGGATGAACTACACCTTCTTCAAGATGGCGTCGACAGGCGTTTGCGGGTGACGTCATCCCGCTTCGCTGTACGCTGGTGGTGGGAGGCCCCATCTTAGTGGGGAAGGGGGGGTGGAGAAGTGGTTTCCATAGCAGCGTAGGGTTTTTTTTTTTTTGCAGAACGTTACGGGCTGCCTTTTCTACGGGCTTTCTTTTTTTTTTAATGGTTTCGACTAGTAGGGTTTTTTTTTTTTTTGCAGAACGTTACGGGCTGCCTTTTCTACGGGCTTTCTTTTTTTTTTAATGGTTTCGACTAGGCCCCGCCCAGCGTGACTGGGACGCCCGGCCCCTCGCCGTTCTGTAACCACGCCCCCACCGCTGACCGCCCAAC